ATAATAATCATTAAACGTTTAAATTTTCATGTTTGATTTATAATGAATTGAACAAATGTGTTAAAACCGCAAAACTACAAAACAAATTAATCATAATTACAATTATTAATTATTTTATTAAAAAACTAATCATAATAATAAAACTTGACAGAAATAAAGTACAATATAAATATGCATGATCAAGCGAGACTAATTCACGTTACTATTTAATTGAGTTCATAGAGTCGTTATGAAAGCAACCTTCGATCGAAAAATTACGTAAGCCTCTTTTCAAATGACTATATTATATTAAATAATAAATTAATATGAAAATTATGAAAAATAAATCCATTCAAAATATTTAATATACGATTTAAGCATTCAATATTTCCATATAATTTTGTAATGTGTTGATATTATTATATTATTTTGTTATTAAAACTAGAATCGAATCAATTTATATGAGATATTAATACTTAGTTAAACTGTAATATCTGCAACATAAGATTACCAAAAAGATTATTATATCATCACAAAGATTGTTAGTTAATCCCTAACCAAACATGCTAAAAACATCATCGATATAAAGGAAAATTCCATTGACGTAAATCACAAAGTAGCGATTATATAAATAGAACAAATTATAAATAATATTAGCCAAAACAAATATTTATAACTGCTTGCAAATATACTTATTATAATATCTACACTACTTACAATGTATTTTAAAAACTATTTATCTATGCACGCAGATTTATGTAATCTACATTGTAAATTAAGGTTAACCTAAATTTATAATGTTTAACAACTGACATGTAATGTTTTACGTTTTTAAAGATGTAATATTTCAATATTTCAACATGCGGAAATCAATATACCAATTGCACATTAATCAATAATGCTAATTTAAACTGCATAGCTGGAAATAGATTAGAAATAGCAAACGGAAATATACAAATAAACTATCTTGTAGTTTATTTGTATTTACATCCTCTAGCAAAATTAATGAATCGAGAGTTTAAAAGGAAGCGAAACGTTATACCAACAAAAGGCGAATCGTAATGTAACCTTCGGAAGCAAAAAAAACAAAAGTGGTAAAAATAAAAGAAACGAGAAACAAACAAAATATTACGTTGTGTTTACTCGTCTCTTACTCCAGCTTCTTCTTTTTTTATTTCGGGTCTTCGAAACACGTGAATGAGAGTATAAAATCCACGCTTTATGCAAATCGCGCATTTAAGCATCGCAAATATGTATCTCTCTCTATACATATAAATATGCACATGCATATGGATATATTTATATAAATTCTACACATTAATCGATTCCAGTCGTAATCCGGCTGCTGTAAGCTTTTATTTGCACTGTCGAGAGACACACAAAGATTACATCCACATGGTCTGCATTTATACGTATGCATATATATTTAGCCAACACTTATTTACTCAAAACAAACCGAAAAAAAATGATACGATATATATATAAACGCGTATAGCGCCTGGCGATAATTATGATGTACTCGTTGAACGAATTATCGAACGAGTTTATTTCGGAATCGCACTCGGAGCACGTAAATACAATTTGCGAATTGTACTTTTTTTTAATTAAATTAAATGAAACATACACGGCATTCATTTCAATGCAAATGATTGAATGTTAATGATTATTACGTATTGAAATTAATCGTAAACGTTTTTATTTTCCTTCTGTATGCTTTTCGCACTGACGATCTAATTAACATTGGTAAAAGATCATTAAATATTTGTGCAACAAATTGGAACGACTGTTAGTTATTAAGACGAGTTTACTCAAGCCGAGTGACATAAATATACAACTGTGTAATTTGTAGTATACTCTCTTCAACATGAGATCAAATTATCATCTTCTGGAAATTGCGATTATCCTACTTACACAATTTATTGGTAGAAAGTAATTGATACACCACATCCACTTAACACGTTGCAATTTTCTTCACTCAGCGGTCGTAGGACGTTACATGGCATCTTACATGTGTCTTGATGCAAAAGTGGTGAAAAAAAAAACCAGCGACAACACACATTTCCATGACTTGTAAGTTTTTCCGTGAAAATAATTATTTACCGATTTGTAAATTCCGGAGCGGAAATACTGGGAAAACAACGACGCACACAGTTTTTTCCAAAAAGTTAATTATAGATGAAACTGATTTTTCCTAAATCTGGGAATGTACAACAGAAAATTGCATGAATAACGAATGAATGGAAATACGTGATTCATTCTAACAATTTTTATTATGAAAACTTGAGGAAATTGAGGAACACATAAATATTGCATTTCAATTTCTTCGAATTTTCCCGAAGTTAATGTAATTACTTGAATTATATTTGCGCTTACTTTTTTCCCATCAACTCTTATTACATGGAATCACGTACATCACATTAATTTAGATTAATGAAATATGTATATTACTTATTAATAATTAATATCGAAGCGGAGATCCACGATATTTATATTGTGGATGTGCTTCGTATGTGTAATAGCCGCATCTATTATTATTATGTATTCTTTCGTTCGTGTAATTTACAATTTGAAACTAAAATTAAAACATTTTTCACTTCCTCGATTAATATTCATTAGGTTGGAAGCAACACGCCAGATTTATCATGTGTGGTATTCAACTTTGAATTATGTTACCGAAGGAAACATTAAATGAGAACAAGGAAGAAGAAAAGCACCTTGTATGCTAATATTTCACTTATTTATTGCTTTCCTTTAGGTATCCTGAGGTTACCATTTACCCGATGATTTTCCAGTCAGTTTCTTTATATATTCACTCGTATCCATGAAACATTAATATTACCAAGGTTTCCATGCGCAGCATTTGCATTCAGCTTATTACTTAACATATTTGATTTACAAATGCTATTTTTATTATTTATACACTTGAATTCAAAAAATATAGAATGTTTACTTTTGAATTACTGTGGGAAAACATATCAAATCATATACAAATTTCGAAATATTATACGCAATTTAGAACGCTTGATATCAAACTATAATTTACAAATTATGAAAGTTAAATAATATATATCAATGTATTAGCATTTAGTTTATAGTATTTATATAAGTGATAACTAATATACTGAAGACTCTTAAAATCACGTAGAAATACCAATTAAAATATATATTAATTATTTAAAAAAAAATCGAAAACAAAATTAAATTCATAGTGGATTCATAGTTTATGAGATGTTAGAAGTATTTCTCATATTCAATCTGTATTTATTATTGCTTAATATGATTTATAATGTAATATAACATGTATCCGATTTCAATCCATAATTAATTCTATAGATATATTGAAAAAAATGCAAATTTTTATTAAGTAGAAACCATTTGAATAATGCAACACATTAAAACCCAATTAATTATATTTTGAAACAAGTAAACACATTTTTCTAATACCCAAGTTTGTTCCCATTTAGATAACAATACAAAAATAAAATCAAGTCTTATTTAATGTAATTAACGTAGCAATGCAATTCTAAACATCAAAATTGTTGCGCTATACCTTTATAGTATGAGCCTCAAATCGTCTTATTTAACTGGAAATGCACAAGCAATTAAACGAAACAATGATGAAAATGTTATTTACGACTCATAATTGTCGTAGTTCCCATATTTACCTGGAAACTCGTATACATGAAACTTTTGTAAGAAGTAATTAAAACAATTAAAGGTAGTAATTTTAAGCCAGTTATCGAATTTTATTATAAAAAAATAATAATATTATTTTATTATTTTGTTGAGTTTGTAGAATGTTATATTATTATAAATGAAAGACCGAAAAGTATTCGAAATCATAATTATAACTAGTATTCATATTTTTTCGCTATATAATTCGAATCATTATACATAATTGTTATATGATACAAAATTAACATTATAGATACATTTACATAGTTAGTTCATATATTAAAATTTATTTAAAGTTGTATAGTTATTTAACAACTATTATTATCACTCATAAAACATTCTTAATTTGTTTTATGTAGTTACAGTAAAATCATTTTTAGTTAAATAAAGTTAGCTTTACAAATTATAAAACTCATTATTAAATTGAATTAACTATCTACCATCAATATTTGATAAATTTAATTATTTTTTATCGCTATATTTAGTAATATTTCGCGAAACAAATTAAATAAAAGTTTAGATTAATAAACAAACAATTGTAAACTTTACAGTTATCAAATAATGCATCTATTTATTATAGTTAATATAAATCAAATTTAGTTGAACTATAACATTAAGATATTATTATACCTTCACATTAACTAATAAATTTAATGTTTAGTAATATTTCCCTTTATAATCAATTAATCCTAAATATAATATTTATATAAAACAATTGTAATTACGTTAAAGCAAATAGTCTTGTTAAAAAAATATTTTTTTTTTTTTGGAAAGTTGATTTAACATTTTGGGGTGGTATAAGTAAACATTATGAATTGTTTCCTGTGTTTTTGGGTACCATGACTGAAAGAAGAAACGGCAGTGGCGTATTACATGTGAACGGAAGTTTGAATTGGGGAAAATGGGGGAGCTGCGAGAATTGATGAAACTTCCGGTCGAAAATTTTCAATTGGGAATCTTGAATGAAAAATAACGTTTCGACTCGAATTGACATTAAATAAATGAGGGAGAATGTTGTTCCTCCTTCTGTTTTTATTTGATTTAGCGTTACATTCGATTGTCATGCATGCATGTGCATGTGGGTAGGCCGCATCGGGATGAAAGATAACAGAGGTCCGTTTGAAGTGGTGATTTTGGTATTGGCTTTGTGAGGAATAGATTAAATAAAAGATCGGCGTGAGCTGCGTGCGTGTGTTTGGTGTGGAAGTGGTCGATTTGTTTATAAATAAATGAGTGCAGTTTGTTTACGTTGCGATGGGTACCGGTGGAGGAGTTGGTGGTGCCGCCGACGAATAGTTCTTATAGAAGGATGGGTTGGTTTTTCGGCTATAGTCCGCCGTTCTTACCTGTCTGAGGATTCGGAGCTGTCGTATCTGTCGACGCATCTCTTTTTCCTGCAGTCCTCATCCGCGGGAGAAGGCATATTTATATCCAATATATCCTCATGCTTATTATTAGGGCCCTTCACACACAAATTCCCATATAACTTGGCACCATCACTGCGACCATAAAAGGTATCCACTGTGACACAAGCACTGTCGAGCGCGCTGTCCGTTTTCACTGATTCCACGCAATTGTCGTTGCGCTTTGTTATTGTATTCTCGAGAACATTGCTCAGTGTTTCTCCCGTGCACAGACCGTCTGCCATTTTGAGAGCGCACTACCAGTCGGCGGCGACGGACCTTTGGCTGCGTTCGGGATCGGCGCGAGGACCGCCGAGAGGTGGCGCGCCGGCGCCGTTCGCCCCATCAGACAGCCCCACCACGAGCCGCACGCTCCCACCATTGGTCGAAGACGCCGGTGACGTCACGCGGCGGCGGTCGTTGCGCGCATCACGCGCCGCTCTCACCGCCGCCGCCGTCACCGTTGCCGCCTCACCGCTCTTTTTGCCGCCGTCGAGACGTGAACGGCGCACGCGCCCCGCCCCGCGCTGCATGCGGCAACGCGTCGTTCATTGGCCGCTCGCCGCCGATGCACAATTACATAATTTACTTTATGGGTAAATGACATCTGCCTGCATTCAATGACGACTTTTTTACGTAATACGCACTCTCGCACACATACACAACACAACACAACACACAGTCTCACGCGCGCGACGCAGCAGATGATCGCAACAATCATATGACATACAAATGCATGTACGCTCACCTACTAATATACAGACTATTTTCTAAATCCATAACCACAACAAATACCATTCATTCAATCCGGAAAACGCGCACCGCAGACGAATCTCAATGAAAATCTAATTAATATATATATATATATATATGCAAACTCACTCTGCAATCGCTCCACAACTTTCCATTTCTTGATTGACACTTAATTGACGTACTGTTTTTATTTGTTTATTTAACCCTTTGTTACATATAAATAAATAAATACATAAAAATAAATACATTTTTCTTTAAGATTTCTTTTCAAACACATTAAAATTAAGTTGCCTATAAATTTTTATTAAATTTCAGTAATATTTTCAATGAAAAAAATATGTGGTACTTTTTGGTAAAGTCAGCAATTTTAAGCTTAAATGTATAAAGTATATTTAGAATAGAAAAACGGATCATTGTCATATATATATATGTATTTAATAATATACTTTTCATTACAACATACAAAAAATAACAAGTATTACTTGAATGTAGGTGATTCCCATCGCTACAGCGATCCAGTGGAGGTGATGACCACAGGTGCATTTCTATTTAATGTTTTCTATTAAAATTTAAAAAAATATAATTTCCAGGGGGCGCTGAGTAATATTTTTTCTGGAAAGGGGGCGGTAGGCCAAATAAGTTTGGGAACCACTGGTTTAGACAAACATGACCATGGGTTTATACTAACTTGGTGTTTCCAATTTGAAAACAAATCATTTTTGTATACAATATAAAGATTACATTAAAGTACCAACAAGTATTTAGGTCTGTTTCACGTCTCTTTATAATTTAAATAGTGACATAAATGTGCCGGTACTTATAAGAACCGTCAGACGACAAAGGTTAAATCTATTAGTAAGAATTTACATAAATGTGCCTGTTATAAGTACCATCAGGCGACAAGGGTTAAAAGGTTAAATAATGAATACTGACATAAATGTGTCGGTACTTATAAGTACCGCCAGATGACAAAGGGTTAAATTAAAACAAAATCACTGTCTTCGTAAACTATACTTATTAGAAAATGTAAATACATTTAATCATAAATAACAAAACTTTTTGAATTTACTTATTTGTTACTATTAATTTCTATTATAAAAAATGTGAATCGACAATAATAGTTTTATAGAAACATTTGAAACTTTTTTTTATTATTTAAAACAAAACAATACATTGACTTTTATAATT